TTGTCTTATGAAGCACGGATATGAACATGGAACATAAATATGATACGATACAGATAAGGCGATACGGTAAATCTCCACTCACACACACAAAATAAAAAAAAAGGAAGAAGAGGAAAGATACAGAGTTGGAAGGGATATAACATAAAATTCATAACATAATATATTATTATGTCTACAGAAATAATAATTTTTGCTCATTTTATCCACAATATCATGCCAAAAGTGTCCAAACACGTGTCCCTAACGTGTCCTCATTTTGTCATAGTCATGTCGAAACCAAAAATAAATTAATAGAAGTTCAAACTCTAGGACAATCTAGTTGTTTTCAAAAAATGACCATAGAAGTAGTGGTTTAGAAATGGCCAGACTATGCATATAAGTTTTCACATCCTCTCTTATGTGTGACCTTGTCCAGTGTTAGAGGATTTAAATATTAAAATTACACTTTCTATAGTAGCTTAAGTTTTTAGAGTAGCTTCTTGTTAACATAGTATCAAAGCCAAAGGTTGTTCAAACTCACCATCACCTGATAATTAAAATTGAAAACACATGTTGGACCAAAAGAAGGCCACACGCGAGGGGGCGTGCTAGAGGATTTAAATATTGAAATTACACCCTCTCTAATAGCTTAAGCTTTTAGTGTATACATGTTTTATTAGCTATCCCAAAAACTGTTGTAGCCAAGTTGAACCTGCTCGTGAAATAATAAGGGGCAGAGAAAAACTTACATGGTCAAACTGGTATGTCAGATGATTTGATAATTTTGTGATGCATTTATATTCCATTGCTGATACAAACTGAAGTTCAATCTCCTCTTTTTCATATTGGTTGTTTAAATGTGAACAGGGTCAGCTTAAGCACTACTATATTTCCAATTGGTCGATTTGTTTTTTTGTTTTTTTATTTCCCCCTCTTTTCATCTAATGAAGCTAAAATGTCTTCTTCTTTTTTCCCTTGTACATGATACAGAGGTTTGCTGCATCCAAAAGAAAGCAACCTTCACAAATAGGGCATCAGTAGTTGCAGAATCCAGAGTTTGTGCGGACTGGTGATATAAATGTGCAGTTGAGCTTGAAATTCTTCAGTCGTTTTCTAGTATTCTTTAAATGTGATTTGTATTTGATCACTATTGTGTTATATATATATATATTAAAAAAAAAATGCATAATTGTCACTATTTTCTAGTATTGATCAGTGTGAGGTTTCTTTCATCATTAGGTTGAAACCGATTCGTTTTTTTTTTTTTTTTCCTGGGGAAATGTGTTGCTTAATCATCAGATAATAGCTTCTAGGTTCATTACCCAGTGTTTGTCCAGCCAACTTTGGGTGGTCGGAGAAATAGACTGAATGTTGATTGACCAAAATTTCTAGGTCTGTTTTTGTTTGCCCTGTTGCCATAGTTTATTAGTTTTTGAAGTCTGAAATTTAGATATGGGTACTCGGTTGAGTGAGGAAACCCTAGATGGTTTTATTATGGTTTGCACTCACGGTAACGTACTCGGGCGAATATCATGTAAACCGATCGAATAGCAAGTTAGGTATATAAGGGTATTAGATTTTGGAAAGGAGTAACGAACTGGATGATATATTTTTTATAATTTATTGCTCTTCTTTGTTCCTGATGACCAACTAAACTTTAACCTGAACAATAAATTTTGCTCCTGTGTTACTTGTATACATATAAATTAAAAAAATAATCTTTAGTAACTTGTCAAAATGACATAAAAATTTCTTCCTGGAAATGAAGCAGTAACATATGACATAATTGACAATTTATAAGATATTGGAACAGAATTTGGTGCAACAAAACATACAAGTTCTAGAGAACACTGTCTACTCATTAAAAGAGAGAGAGAGATACATATAAAAAATAATAATTTAAAAAAACCTCTGTTACACTGTCACCACTTGTTTATTTCTTTGAATAAAAGTCAAATACCAAATTTTATTTTATTTTTTATTTATATTTTAATTTAAAGAAAGTGGATCTCTAATTATATTTTTTTGGTCGGTCATTTTGAGGCGGTGAACTACACCTAGTCAAATCATAATGTAATCAAATCATATCATAAAGTGCCGAATGATTCGGAGTATTGGAAACGCTTTCGTAGTCCAGTGATTGATTTGCTCCCCATTGTCCTTGGAAGCTCCACTTCAAACCTTTTCAATTCTAACTTCTAATCTAACATTGCAATAGTGACGGGTTATATGTAGTAATTATATCATGAAGTGGGTAAGGAGAGAGAGAGAGTATCATGGCAAATACTAATAGGACCCCAGTTCTTTGGGTCCTTTTGGGCTTTAGGGGTGGTCCTTGGGGTTTTGCTGCAGACTCTGGGCTTCCTACTGAGGGCTTGGCTAATAAATATGGATACGGGACATAATTCAAATGTTAGGAAGTACGGGTACAACACGATACGATATCTCAAATGTTACGAAATACGGATACGAACACGGATACAATACGACACGATAGGAATACAACGCTATGAAAAAAAAAAAAAAAAATTAGGACACAAACATAGACACAGCATGTTTACGACAAACAATAATAATTTAACATTTTATTATATATAGAAAAGCTCATTTTTATTCATTTTATCCATATAATCATGAATGAAAGCACTAATTTGGAATTTAGAATTAAATGTTTGTTATTTTAAATTTTATATTATTTTTTGTATTAGTCCATAATATATTTTAAATTGCATTGAATTTCTTTCTTCTAAAAAAAATAATTACAAAATCACCTCGTCGTGTTCTGAAAGTGTTCAAAACGTGTCAAAAATAAAATATTCAAATTTCAAGACACTTCTAACCGTGACTGACACCACCACAACACCCCTTGGTGGAGTGTTCGTGCTTCATAGGTCAAATGTAAGGCTTTACTATAAATTTCAAAAAATGAATAATGGTATGAATAGAATACAGTAATATAAAATTAATAAATTATATTTTTATATATACAAAAATAAAAATTAATATTATGTTATATATATTGTTATTAATATTTTTTGTATAACATATTATTAACAAGTAAAATAAGAGTTAAAGAGTCATATTAAATCATTTGTATGGATAAATACTAAATCGCACATATATCTAATTACTTCTTTTCAATTTTTCTTAACAATTATATTATGATATTTTTATTTAAAAAAAATATATATTTTAATGTTTAAAACTTGTTAAAAATGTGTTCGGAAGTATCTAAGAAGTATCGGATAAAGTATCGGTGGCAGAAGTATCTGAGAAGTGTGGATGTTAGAAATAATAATAATAATAATAATATAAAGATATATAATTTAAAATTATAAGTACATTTAGGAAGTATCGAAAGAGAATCCAAGTAGTATGGTATGCTCAATTTTATTATAGATATTTTGTTGTATAATGTTTTCTTTTTTAAAAAAAAAAATTCCATTTAAAATTATAAGGAAAAACTCATTTCAATAATGTGAAAAATTAAAAATTATAAGGAAATGTGGTGTATTAGAGAGATGATGGATTCTACAAAATATATATGTGTGTAAAAATTGGTAGATTTCAGAAGATTTCAGAAGAGTAGATAAGAAAAATGGTAGATATTTAGTTGGATAGTTTTAGAAACTAAAACTTAAATGGTTCTAACACATCATAATCGTCGATTAAAAAAAAAATTGTCTATATAAAGGTAAAGAGAGTATAATTTCACAATTAACTTCGTTTCTAATCACTAAAAATTTAATATTAAAGCAATGATGATGTGATTATATATTGTAGAGGCAAAAATTATATAGATACATTAGCAAAATTAAGCATTTCACATAACTCCGTCTTTAAATTATATCAAATCACTCTGAAAAAATGATCTAATATTTATTATGTAGTGGATTTTCAATGTGAACAGTATTGTTAGGCAAATCCACTAGGCCTCTTAATGTGTTACGCCCACTACTTGTTCTACCAACTAAGAACAGGTACAGAGCTAAGCTAAGGAAGGTACAGAGCTAAGCTAAGGAAGGCTTGAAAGGATTGGAACAGAGCGGCCTCCAAGGCGATTTATTTAATATTATGTACAATTTATAAGAAAAAAAAGAAAAAATAATAATAAAATCCAAACTATTTTACAACCAATCATGTGTTTGATTTAATTTTCACAATATATTAAAATTGAATTAAGTTATAGAGACCTCTATTTGTACATCTCTTAATAATATTTTAAAATACCACTCACCCCCTAACTATTTATCGGTAATAAGAGTATTCAAAATGCAAAAGTTAATTTTTAAAACTTATGCATGTAACAATTATGAATCAAATTTGTATCTGTATTCAGTCCAAACAAAGTGAATGGAGCTTTGGCACAAATAATGTTTTACAAGTTTTGAATATAGCCGAGGTTTAAAACAATGATTCTCAGCTATTACATGACAACCATCTAAACCCATGTATTTAAACCCCTGTTAGTGTAGTTATTATATACTACCATACCTTCTTTTAGTAGCAACAAAAATAATAGAAGAGTCGATCAATTTCATTTTTATGTCTTTTTATTGCAAAGAAAGTGTATTCCTCAGAGGAATTCGCAATAATGCAATGATTAGAATGGTACTTTTACAACCCCTGATAATGTAATAATGATCAGGATAAAGACACAAAAAATTAAGAAATAAAATAAATAATAGCAACTTCATAATTTCTCCAAAACCTTCACCATTTTGAAATTTCATGCTAAACTAAAACCAGACGTAAACTAGAACGGAACAAAACAAAACCTTTAAAAGCTTTTAATTTTGTCATAGTTAAACCTCCAAAAGTTTCAAACTACCATAATTGTAGAGAATATTCTATAATGTTACAGAGATTCTAAATATCTGTAGAGAATACAATATTCTATAATTGTAGAATTTTGTAGGGTTGCAAAAATTAATGTTTGGGAAGTTCTAGTCAGAAGTCATTTGTAGCTACCAACCTCCCAAAGTGAGAATGGTAAGAAGCTACAAAAATGAATAACTATATAAGAGAATTTTAAATAAAAATCGACAAAAACTTACACAAATCTTTAATATAAAATTTATACATACCCTAAGTTGATGGTTGAAGCTAGTGAAAAATGAAACATATCAAAATAATTTAAAAAGGTCACTCCCCCACCTTATTGTTATGCCAAGGAGTATGGCTCTTAAACCAATTGTAACGGTGGGTGCTTTGCGATTCAATCCAAAAGTTCAAGTGAGGTTAACACCCAATCCATATATACCCATTCACTTTTTGATCCGGATCAAATGTGGGACAAGCTCCCCTTGTTACAACAACCATCTAGCAGAATTGATTAGCATTTCTCTCATCCAGAAATACAAACCCTTTAGCTCATCCAGAAATACAAACCCTATATGCCGACTTAGAGCATGCCCTTCCATCCAGAAATCCATCCTAATGAATGGAACTAGGGTTGGCTTACTTGCTGCTTCCAATGAATTTCCATGCTATTCCATCCCACCCTTAAGGCGGAAGTCAAAGAAAGCAGAATCACCACCACCCTGAAATGGAAGGCAATGATTCTAAGAACCCACTTTCTTGTAATCAGCCAGAAAATTTTGTACTTTCATTTCAACAATAAGGGATTCGGCTGATGCAAATAATAAATTCACCCATGAAGGGCCTTCCGTTCTGACAAGTCTATGGCAGTGTCTCCTATATTTTAACCTTGCCTGTTGCAAATGGTCACCGGACAATCAGGAGACCTAAGCCAAGAGGAGCTGGAATGGGAATAACAAAATTGATATTTATGACACTGTTATGGTTAACTCTATTGCCGGGAGCTTGCTTTTTTATTTCTGACCAACTATAGCCCTTCAGCTTTTAATATATCATCAGGCCTTCTTCCTACATCAGTGCCGTCCACCTACACTGCTCAAGACTGAAATGAGTTCGTTTACTGTTTGCAACATAAAACCTACACTTGGAAGATGAAGACCCAAATGGTACTCCTCTTCGTCAAACTGCAGTCGTTTTAGTGTTTTCTTGTAACTCTTGGTGGCAGTCCTGGGGTGACCCTTAGCAATGCATACCTGTGGTTTCAAGACAAAATTTGGAAGTGAGGCACTCATATGGCAAAGCAAATGTAGGAGACACAAATTTCAAACAAAAACTATTCATTGCCCTCCCCCCAAAAAAAGATTTGGGGGGCAGGGGACTAAAATGTGCTCCAGTGGTCCAATGTCAACTTGCTTCATTGGCCTAATAATTTGCAAAGAGAGCTCCAAATTCAAGTGAAAGAAATCAAGTTCAGAATCCTCAGCTAAGCTAAAGTACAACTACCGGTTAGTCCTTTTTTTGCATGAGTGCAGTCTGACAATGAACCAAGAGTGACGACAGCAACAATAAATGGTGCCTATGCCAAACAATTTGGAGTCAGTGTCACCTAGGAGACATCTTTTATTTAAAGGTTTTGCTATTTTTTAATTACTAGGAAAAATCTCACACACTAATGTTACATAAAGGCCATAAATGGACCACAAGCCACCCTGATGTATGTTGTGCACCTAAAACTCTCAATGATTAGACACCCATTGCTGTCTGATTCAAATGGCCACACATATCAATGTCAACTCAATGTGAGATTTGAGTGCATAACACAAATGACAAGGGCAATGGAATGCATATTGTGATGACCTTCACAAGAATAGCTAGTTTCTAGTGACTTTTCTAGTTGCTGCTTCCCAGAGCACATCTTAAACTATCAGAAGGGAAAAAACACTCACTCTAAAACACTCGCGATTTCACGAGCCAGTAAGTCAGGGAAGGAAAAAGTTGGAAGGAAAAAGAGAAGTCATTGAAAAAACTAACCAAATGCCCTTTTGCCAGCTCAAAAAGCCAAAATCTCCAATCCTTCAGTTCTTCCCCATCAACTTCAACAAATATATTGGTCCAGTTAGTGTGATGAAATACCACATGATCCAATCTATACCCAACTCCAATCCCCATGGCCTTCACAAATGCTTCCTTCAGACACCAATATCTGTAGAAGAAGTCTACATTTGTCAGACAGAGTTGCTTCTTCATTTTATATTTAGTAAAAAATATCACATATTTGCACCCACTTACATCTAAATGCACCAAAAACACCTAGTACATCAGTAAATAAGAAAATGCTATACACATTATTCAGCTGGAACAATGAAAAAAAAAGAAAAGAAAAGGAAAAGATATGTTATAGAGCATAACTCAGGAGAAGAGCCAGAAAATGTTTTGGGAGGGAGTGAACAAAATGTACCTATTTCTTTCTTAGAATTTTTAAATTAATGTCTCTTGAAACTAAAATAAATCTTTTTAATCACAGTTTGTCTAGAAAGAACCCACGAATATAAACCACTGTTAGTGTAGTTATATTATTACTACACCTTCTTTCTGTAGCAATAAAAATAATAAGAGTGTCAAATTTCATTTTTAAGTTTCTCCTCACTTTTTTATTACAAAGAAAGTGAAGTATTTCTAGGGGATTCTAATCCTTGTTATTTAATCAGATTCCAGATTCTAACTGTGGCGAAAACATATATTTATTAGAAAACGCCCGTCTACATCCTTTAGATTTAGTCCATGGTGAAGGTTGATCTCAGGTGGAAGGTTACAGCCATTTTGTTCAATGATTTCATTATTTCGTCATCCACTATCTTCCCCAACTACCAAAAGGGACCAAAATATAAGCTTATAGATATTTGGGACTACTCAATCCATTTTTGGACTACTCCATCCATTACACTGTAACATGATTGGATAAAATAATTACATCAATAAAATTTTGCTGAAATCAGAGTAGAACGGACGAAGGGGTCAAATAATAAGAAATAAATATAATAATTTAAGTAAAATAAATTTCTTTGAATTGAACTACGAGCTGTATATCAATCTTACCTGTAGAACTCATTTAACATTCCATCACAAGTGTCGGCATTAATAATATTATTCCATTCCAAACTTGAGAAGTATGATGAGAAGTTCTGAATGTATTCTTGAATTGTCTCTCTCTCGGGAATGAAGTGTGAAACAATATCCAACCCCACGAGGCATACTGGTTCAGAAGCTATTGCCACGTAGTCACCATGATGGGATGCATTGAAGTTAAAATTTGGAAATTCCAAGTTCACGTTATCGCATTCCTATAAAAGAAGGACCATACATAAATATCATAAGCAGGTTTACAATTCAAAAAATTACGGCAAGGTTGGAAAGCACATAAGAAATTTGCAATAGTACATTGACTAGAATGATACTTTTACAACTCCAAACAATGTAATGATCAGGAGAAAGAGACAAAAATTTAAGAAATAATAGCAACTTCAGAATTTCCTGAAATGTCATGATTTTGAAATTTCTTTTAACATCTTAATCACTGTGGATTTCTATTACTGTGTAAAAGATAAAAAGCTTTTCATGTTAAACTAAACCCATAAGTAAAATAAAACAAAACAAAACTTCCAAAAGTTTCATACTAACATAATTGAATATGATTGTATTCAATCCAAATTTTGATCAATGTCTACAAGATGTGCATTAGTTATGGACATGGTGGAATGCTCACATGAAAGTAAATCCTAAGTCACCAAGGACCTCCATGCAATGTGGATTCAGCAAGGAGGATGACAGTCGTACATATCCTAAAAGTCATTTGTGTTGGATAATTAGGATAGTTTGTACAATCTGCTTAGTTTCAACCTTGCAAAACGCCTACAAACAGAAGAATTTTGATGTCTACATTGGTTCCTAATCGGAAGACTAAACCTGCAATATCAACAAAACTAACACGCTTTCATGCCTTCACTATCCAGCTGCAGGTTGAATTACAACCCATCCTCATTTCAAATTTCAGCTACCCAATCTTAAATCTTCTTCCTTTTTGTTTTCAATGTGCATCTGTAATGACCTCAAATATTTTACCCAAATATTCAGCCAAATTAGTGTGAATTATAAATATTAATACAGCTGAAAATTTCCTAAGAATATGCTACTTTAGCTCAATTGCTAAGCCAAAACAATAAAAGGGTAAAAAAAATTCATCCAAAATAATGCACAATTTCGATTCAGAGGACAGCTAGTGAACATCAAAGTTGGCTAATCAATCACACATAGTCACAGAATATGGAAACCATTTTGTAACCTACCACACTGGAACTTCGAAAACAAATACATGCCTTCAATGGATGAAAAATTCAAGAACAAAAAACCAAATACTCCGTAAATATTGAGCTTGGGATTGTACCAGATAGGGTTTGCCCTCAGCAGTGCGTTTAATGACAATTTCCTCAAGTGGGATTCCCAACACTTCATGAACAAGAGCATACTGAAGCAGCTTACTCACAAGTGCCCTTTTTCGATCTTCCAGTTTCACAAATCTTCCAAATAACAATTACAAAAAGGTTCTTCAACACCCTTTAGATAAATACCCAATACACTAACATCAAGTGCCCATCAAAAGAAAATAATCATAACCCAAAATTGCAAATACACATCAAATATATACAAATATTCCAAATAACAATTACAAAAGGTTCTTCAACACCCAATATAGTAACATCAAGTGATCATCAAAAGAAAATAATCATAACCAAAATTGTGCATAGAGAGATATTATATATATGTGCGTGTGTGATTGTTTGTTTATTATATGTGAATTTGCTGACCTGGTGATAGAGGAATGCTCGTGTGGAGGAAGAAAAGAGATGGCGAAGAAGAAGTCTTGGGGAGAAGGGTTCCACTCGGATATGTCAACTAACCATCTCCGTACGCCTTTTTCTAACTCCATTTTTATACAACAAAATGAAAGCTTTACTCTCGCATGTCACTGGGTCTAGTGGTTGTTGCGGAAAAAACATTCGTAGGAGGAGAAATATATGTGTGTGTGTGTGTGTGTCTGTGGAGAGATAAGAGTGGCCGCCGCCGGCCGGCTGGGCTAACTATTTACTTTTCAATTTTTTTTTTTTGTATTCATTTATTTTTGGGAAATTCAAGCAAGTATTAATTTTTCATGGGATATATATATATATATATATATATATATATATATATATATATATATTGGCAATGCAATACGTATTTTTAGAAAACTTTCAACATTTACTTGATAAAAAAAATTAGAGTGCATTTTGTTGAATAGTATAATAAACGTCGTCTCACTATGTACCTTATGTAATTAATTTTTCAAACTAAAATTTTAGAAATAAAAAATAATTTGATTGTCAATATAAATTATAATTGTAAAAATGTTCGACTGTGGTTTTTTTATATATAAAAAATTAAATTATAAAATCCAAGAAAGACATGCAAAGAAAATCCAAACAAGCACAAAGCTCATGGCACAAACGAGAAAACCACACTAGGCAGAGAAACATTTGAACTTTAACACAACAAATTTTAAAAATAAAAAATAAAATAAAACCATTTAATTGACTAAAAATTAGTCGGTATTTTTAGAGTAGGAACTATATAATACTCTTGCTATTTTAAAAAATTGTATAGGAAATCGTATTAGACTTTTTTTTTTCTTTCTTTGAAGATAGTATTAGTACTAGATTACACGGTCTTTGATATTAAAAAATATATCAATTGATATCTCTTCAATTTATTTAATAAATGAATGATATTTAATTAAATGAACCGTGTATGTTAAGATATATCTTCGTATATCTATTAATAAAATAAATATTTTAAAATGTAATTTTGATTAAACCAAGACTATTTGATTTCGTTTTTTAATCTTTTCTTATGCCAACAAAAGAAGAGGGGGTATATTGGACATAGTCCATTTTGTAATGAGTCATGTAATCAACTAAATCAAAAAAAAATAAAAATAAAAAATAAAAAATAAAAAAAGCTCATTAGGATCATGCTAGCTAATGATTGCAATCCATTTACTTATAATTTATATTTAACCAAATTGTATCGAATTCCCCAGAACTATCACTTTGTAGAAAAATACCTCTCAATTATCAACTCAAAAATAAAAAAATAAAAACAAGAACTCCAATACAATTAAAAGGTGACAAATTGCACTTCAAAACCTAACACCACCAACTCCAGTACACTTGCATCAAATCCACGCGTCAAGATTTGAGACTGGTAGACTAGTGAGAGACTACACTTTCATCAAACTAAATGCAGAGGGTCTGCAATTTTATCATTATTATTTTTATTTTTATTTACTTGAATGTGAGATATTACACTGAATTTCAGGAAATTCGATAAAATTGCTTGAATCTTCCTTATGTTCCAAAAATTACACCACCATAGTCAATCTCCCCTATCACCGTGACATCCCTGTAAAGGGGTTAATGCTTGATTATATTACTTTTGTTTAATAATAATATTTTGCCAAAAAAAAAGAGTGGAATTTCAACTTTTTTCACTGCTTGATGTAATATTTTTTTTATTTTTTTTTTGTCTTTTGACCAACATTATCAATTAACAGAATTAACAGAGGGAAGTATTTGTCTATCAAGATTCATTTTTATTAAAAGGTGACCCCAATGTGATTTAAATTTTAAATTTTATCGATTTCGTACTCTTGTTTTGGGACTTGTTCTCGCTCAGCACCATGTGACAAAGGCCAACACTTATAAACTTGTGAGCCACGAAGTTGGCGGCAAGCTCTGGACTGATGGTTTAGGTATGCAGGTGGCCTAACAAATGCACTAGGAAGCAAGAAACACGACAATATGCTATCTTCCATGATATCCTAACAGAAAATTAATCATATTAATAGACGTCTTTGCCACCACGGCATGGTGATACATTGGTCACCGAAAGGTACAACAACCAATCTAATACTATATCAGCAAGTTTTTGCTGTCTTTTTACCTAATCCCAGCTTATAAATTGGTCATACATGCTTACTAACATCATCTGTGTGTCGAGAGAGGTTATCTAATGAAGTATGTGAAGATTCACAAGTGCAGGCTAGACCAAGATGAGACATGCATCATGCCGGAATCCGGAGACCGGAGCCAAAGTATCGTCAACAAACAGTCTAACCATGACATCAATAAGGTGAAAGGGCTTATGGATGTCATGCAGAGAGTCATTGCGACTAGAGGGCAGAAACAACGATCACCCGGTGTTGCTAACAAGGATGGTGGTGATCAGTTTCAAGTCGAACCAGAGAGGTCTGAATCGTCATCTGATGGTAGAATCAACCAGAACACAGCAAAGCAATCTCATTCCAGTGGATAGACAGCATCGTTGCTCCAGAAAGACCATGTTTAGGATCCACCATGTCAGTCTCAAGCCTTGCGACTGTTTAAGAGATCTGAAATGTTTCTTTCATATCTTGTGTGTGTGTGTGTGTGTGTGTGTGTTGATAAGTTGTAATGTTTCTCTCAACTTATTACTATGTAAATTCTCTAAAAAAAATTCATGTCATCTATGCAATATTAACTCTGTTTTTCCACATAAGTCTAATGAAGAAATATCAATGCAACTTCTACCAAGGAAAGTAAAATCCTAAACTTGGGGAGATAAAACTCACCAATAATTTGAGATTCCCATATCCAGTTAGGCACTGCAGGTTTGCTAGTTGATTCATCACTAGTACCATTATTTTTTTTCGATAACCGGAGTGTATCCACGGGACCCATGCAAAGTGATCCCTCCACACGAATGGGGTAAAAGTTCGAACTATGTCCGAGGTCGTAACCCCCAAGGAATTGATCGCACTCGAGAGGATTTGAACCTAGGACTTAATGCTTCAAGAGAGCCAACCCCTTGGGGTTTACTAGTACCATATTTGATCCAACCACTTTCATGAAAATTTTGAACTAATACCAGCTCACCTCATACTCTTCAAAGAGTGTCTGCCATATTGTTAAACCTTCCAATTCCCGAAAAGGCCCATCACAGTCTGGCAAGCTCAAGCATCTGCGTTTTGAATGTTTCTGCAATAACAGATTAGATTGAACAGAACTCAAATGGGCAAGAAAATTATCTCTCATTCACAAAAGGGAAGGGGATTTTCTGTATTCATATATTAACATTGAGTGTAATGTAAATGTACATCCCTAGAACAAAAAAGAAAACATTTTACAAGAGAGTATTTGAGGAAGCAAACTGAAAGGCACCACCTTAAACATAATGAACATCTACATCACAGTCACCAACAGATTTCCGAAAGACAAACTCAGTAAGCAAGTCATCCTCGGTCGTCTATAAGTCATAAAATTTGTTTTCTTTGCAAATTAGACATATGTAGTCAATGTTTATGTTATCTTAAGTACACGGGTTGTTGAAAGCATTTATTCAATTACTGCAAACTTATCATATTTATGATCCTGAACTACCACCGGGCCGCTTAGCCACTTTTTGCACTACTGCTTGTTGTCAAAAAAGATTCTCCACAGCCGCACTGGCCTTTAGAATTCGGATTGATAAATATGAACTCAGATCTGCACATAGAACCAATAGGGATGTAAGAATCCATCAAAGCAGCATAAAAATATAATGTAGAAAGCAAAAACCTAGATTTATGTCACTTCAGTAAGAGTAAAGATGGCAAAGGAGAAATTTTATAGCAACCAAATCTCATAAAGCTTTTCCTCTATGCCGGAAGTTTACTGAATACTAGAACCATATTTTTAAATACAAGTGTACAAAAACTTCAAAATCAATGTTGGCTGCTTCTAAAAAGTAGCATCAACTTTTAGATTTTAAGATGATACAGGAATTGAAAATTCTCACTTTTAAAATGACAGGCCAGGTGTAATATCCTGAATTTTAATTAAGTTATTTAGTTGGTAACAAGTGTTATGGGTCATTTAATTTTAGATTTATTAGATCGAATGATGAGTACATTGAAAAATGTAATAAATGTTATGGTGCATTTTGTTGGTCCAAGTAGAGTACCCTTGTGAGTCCAACTTGGATAAAATATATTAATTGGGATGTCGCAATATATAAAGTTGTGATAGACCATGAAAATATAGGAAGGGAAAAGAACTTGAGATAATGATAGACTTAAGGGCTCAAAAGAAAATACTGATTTTAAGTAATGGAGTAATATAGAAATTGACGTAAGTAAAAAGATAAAGAGAGAAGTGAGAACTTAGAATATTATACAAACATTCAGTATGGGTACTGGAATTCTCTAAAAGTATATAAATATATATATATTCATATAGATTAGCATATGGGTAAGCTTGCCTGTGAAAAAAAACACATGCTGGTGTGCATGTGAGGCCATATGTGGACTTATATGTTACACCTCATTGTATAGGTGTCATCCCAATTACTCATGTCCATGGAACGTTATATATACAAATATATACCATATAGTCTCCTATGTCTCTAATAGTATACAAAGTAAAGAAGTGAGAGAGAGAGAAACGGCCAGAAGGGGGGAGAGAGAGAGAGAGAGAGATTTGGTTAGTGAAGAATATTATGCATGCAAGTATATGCATGTGAAGGAAGAGAAGAAGAGCCGAAAAATTTTAGATCACGCAGCCAGTGATGAAAATAAGGAAAAGAAAGAAGAAAAGAGATATTGAAATTGGGGGGGAAAAAAACTTAAAAGAGATAGGTTCCCAAATCCTTTTTTTTTTTTTTAAATACAAAATAAATTGCAGAGAAATTTATAGTTTTTAATAATGCTATCCATGTGAAAATATAAATTTTAGTTGTGTTGCTAATTCTCTTTGTTAAAGCATGAGACGTGGTTGAAAAGCTTATAAGATTTTGAACATGGTGTTGTGATGAAAATCTGAACTGAAAACTGTGGATTAGCACTACATTCCACTTGACTTAGACTTGTTCATTTCTTTTGAAAATTTGAGACAACATAGTACACTGATGTATGAAGTTTTAGCACTTGGTTTGACTTAATTTCATTAAAAATCGAATTACTTATGAATTTCTGAAGTTTGCTTGGGACTGATTGTGAGACTGTTTTACACAGCAGAATTTTTGCTACTGTTTTGATTATAAGTGATCAGTTTTATGAAGTTTTTCAGTGATATTAATTTCTAATATTATGGTATGATATGCTAGCTTTCAAATGGCTTTGGTTTCATGCAATTTGGATTACTATACTTGTTTTGACAAATTTATGAATAAAATCTGTTTTTGCTGAGTAAATTACGGGACAGCAATATTTTTTAATGTTTTTATATCATATCTAAGTTTTATATTTAACAATGAGATTTTGGGAAATAAAAGTGGACCATATATGGTATGTTCAGATTTCTACTGTCAAGAAATATGAAATACGTGATTTATATGGTAAATTTTCTAATATGAGTATGGTGGTGGAAAAGAGAACAGCTTGTTCATGGAAATGGTATATGGATTACGTACTTTGGTATTGATTTTGTCTCTCTACTACGCATCTGCCTAGCATAAAATAGGTAGGGTAAGAGTTCCCCTTGGGTTGAAAGACCCTAAACGGCAATGTGTTCACGGTCTTAGGGTGCAAGCTCCTAAAGTCGAAGGACGGGGGCGGTGGTCCCAGGAGGAAGCCCCTAAAGACGCATAGGGTACACAGTGTTTTGAATGGATATGGGATTTATTATTTTTCTGAGATCCTTATACTTGATGAAATATTCAGTTTTATGATTATATTTCATGATTATATGCTTTGAATATATTAATAAGAAATGAGTTAAATTTGGAAATGATATGGGATTACAAGTTAATTAATATATTAATGGTTTATTTGGTTATATATATTTCAATCTAGTCCAAGATGTTCGGTTCGTTTATCTAAAATCGTTAAAAAACACTCTTTTCCTACTATTGTTTAAAGAAGTTATTTTTGGATACTCTTTTCATCACACTGAGAACCTACCGGGCTCGTTGAGCTCACCCTATTTTTCTAATATTTTCAGGTTCTAGTTCAAACTTCGAAGGGAAAACTGCAGGAAATAAAGATAAGACGAAAGTAGGAAGCTTGGTGAGTTATCTTGTGATTGATTCGAGTCTGTATTTTATGGTTTGGAAATCATGGTATTTTTATTAAATGGTGGCTAATTCATGTGCCTGTGGGGAGCGAGGCGTGACACCATGCAAATGATGAATCACCTCTAAATACTCATAATTAGAAATTAACCAATATAACTATCTAGAATCCAAATCATGGTCAAATGAAACCGAGGTGTCATCAACTGCATTGTTTAAAAGGGATAATATAACATTCTGAACGTCAAGATTGATGATCATGTGACCATACACCATACTTCACTAATGCATGCATGCATATTAACTCAGGTTCTGTCCATAAATGAAATCGACAAAATCATAACCAGAACAATTTATGGTAAATGTTGTCCATACCTGAGTTTGTCATCAACAAAATCCATCTTTGTTCCAATGACATGCATTAGGGCCTTTGGGTCAATCAATATCTTCACTCCTTTGTCTTCAACCAACTCATCAAACTTCTGTTTCTCATCTGTATATTTAAAGTATCAGCACAACAAGAGATTTTATAATCTATAAGCTTATAACAGTTCCACTTTGCTAACTAATGGAAGAAATAATTATAGCAGAGAAACATCTAAATTGTGGAGCATTGAAGCAATTTCTAGCATACTAGCGTAGAGTCTGGTCATCAATATATTTACACAAACAGCAGCACATAAATTTAAGACTTTGGAGCACTCAAAACAGACAACATAATGCTTGTAATGATGAGACAAAAAGAAGCGAAAAGTAACAAAATGAAAATATGTGTGACACAAAATTAACCAGGTGAACGAAATTTTGTTAATGACAAAAGCGACAGAAAGGATGCTTCTACCAAATGGTTCAAATGCTACAAGGTGGAACTAAGATCAAGATATATAAATAAGTAGGGCTTTGTTAATGACAAGAGAACATATTTGTAGACTTAGTAATGCAGTCTGATTGTCAACAATAGATGATTCAGAAGATGAAGAAACGGGATCAGATGTTGGGAATGACAACAGTCTGTGGTATCCAAATGCATCTTGACCAACCAAATACGGTCATATGGGGTGGATCTAAAATAACAAACTGGACCCAATTACCAAAATGAAAAGAGCCGGGTAGAGAATTTAAAGTTGCACAAAGGTGGGCAAAAATGTAAAATGCAAAATGCAGCGTTTTTAAGGAGACAGAACGTTTACAATAGCATGAAGATGGGTAATAACACAGCACAGTAGAGCATTTCACAAGCAAGGAAGGGCTGCCAATCGGAACATGGAAAACATGAATTTGCAGGTTTACAATGCCGAATGAAACAAGAGAGAGTTCCATTTCAGTAGATTGTAATAACAAATATATATATATTTAATAGTGTATTTTCATTAAATAATAGATTATAAATTAATGAGAATGATAACATAATAATGAAAAACAGGAATAAGAAATTAAAATATAAAGTGAAACTGTAGCCAAGCCTAGGGGATATGGACTCGTTAAAAAAGGAACCTTGACAAAAAATCAGGGTTTTTTCTTTACGTAGTCGGTTTGCACTAAGAAGAGAAAGGAAAAGTAATCAAGGGCAAGCTATAGTTATCATCAACTCTAGATAGAAAAATCAAAGGAAAGTGATGATATGCCCTAACTACAATTTGTAGCCACATACTACTAGTAGTTTTTCTTAGGCATGTCTATGAATTTTATGATCAAATGGTGATGCAGCAAGGTTTAGACAGACTATGCCGTGACTTTTGGAGAAAGATGATTTCTAAATGGAGATAATCTTGGACCATGGTGTATGATTTTGGCGGGATTGAGGATCATTTTACAGGATTGTGTGCAGTCTAGTCTAAGCTTAGAGGTTAGCCATAGTTTATGAAAGTTTAGGTTTTGGTTGAGTCATGAGTTAGTAACAAAAATAAGTTAAATTAACGGACTATTGTGGTCCTATAATAACGAAAATGAAGTTGTCCACTCATAAGGATTATTATCTTGTTCGTCCACTCATAAGGATTGACATCAAGATAATATTTAGTGGAATCAATGACATAATGCGATAATGTTATTTCTTCAGTTTACACATCACATGGCATGTTAAGCTTCATTAACTTATGAATTATCATTACCATTGTAACTGCGTTACCTGCGATTTACATAATTCATGTCATCAATTGGTTAGATCATTTCTTATTGGGCTATCCAAGCTCACTCTCTTTCCCCCACACTTTAGGTAATTGCGTAATTGAGTGCTTGAAATGCTAGAGGAGCTATCACAACAATTCTTTAGCAATATTTTATGTTCTTAGTTTGACGTCATTATATTAATGAAGCCCATATGTAGTGAGAATGACTAACCTCAATTATCTTCAGCAATAAATAATTTTTCAAAGGATATAAATTCTAAAATTTTACTATGTCTTAGTTCCTAAGATACTATCAACTATATGTTGGTATCCTTGTTAATATTATTACCTAAGTTCCTAACATACTATCAATGCAGTGAAATTGTCTTGTTATAGACATGTTGGGCCTCTATAGGTAAGGCTGGACCATAGGGCTTTTTTTATTGTTCTTTAGGATTATTGAGAAAGGTTCGGTAAGTCAACCTCTTCCGGCGTTCACCATGCCTTGATATTACTTCAATGGATCTGCCTACCATATATAGAAAAAAGAGGTAACTCCCAAGCTAGTGAGCAGGACTCTTTAAAGGTCATGATTAGAACAAAGCTAAGGTATACTGCTGAAGAGAGAATTGGAGATGAGGTAATGTCTATATGCTCTTATAATAAAATTCTAAATTCAGATATAAGACCACACGACCAACCTTCCAAACATCCCTAGTTAACAAGGAACAACAATAATTCATTTTAATTATTTCCCCCAGCTCGTCTTACATTTCTACAAATTTAAAGTGTGATTAATTATGATTAAGAACAACAATAATTCATTTTTTTCTTATTTCCCCCTGCTCGTCTTACATTTCTACAAATTTAAAGTGTGATTAATAAAATGACTTATCAAAAAAAAAAGAAAAAAGTGTGATTAATAAAATGATTCACCGTTTAACAATTATATTATGATAAATTTCCCAATTTATCCTACATAATGCTCCACCAACAATATAGTAATCAGAATATCAGATAATACTCATGATCAAAAATGAAACTATTCCATTTTTATTTATTTATTTAGTAAGTGGCAAATAAGCTACACAGCAATACAAACTTCCAGATGAAATCACAACAATTCTAAGCCATCATGCAAACAAAACAAATATAAAAAAATAACACATTTTCTCAGGAAATGAGAATTTTATTTAACAGAGGATTACGATATGTATCCTAATTTCATCGTTATTCAAAAACACACATGTAATATTTAAAATACAGCATATGCCAAATTTACATCAATTATAATTTTTTTTGCTTTCCATGTAAATCCGGTACAATTTTGTGCAGTCAAAACACAAATTTTCTACATGAATTTATAATCATTGATACACAACCATGCATTAGGAAATAACCTGCATAATTGAGGGTGTAGGATAAGCCGTTGCAACCACGAGCCTTGACGCCGAGCTTGAGGAAAGGGCGTTGGCGCTGCTGTAGGAGTTGGCGTATCCTATCGGCGGCGGCATCCGTTAGGGCTAGGGCTTGCCGGCGAACGGCGGGTCCGGCCACCTTAGCCGCCGCCGCCGCCCTAGATGAGAAAGACGATGCCATCTCTCTCTCTCTCTCTCCTTTCTCTCTCTAGAGGGAAGACGTTGAGGGTTGTCTGATTATCTAGATGGGACGCGTTCAAAGTGATTTATAATCCCAGGCCACACTTTTAGGCCCGCAAGTTTTTTTTGGGCCCGATACAGGTCTCAAGGCCCAAATTAAAATAGGGGATGCTCATCTACCCTACTTATTGTGAGGATTTGGGCCCAACTCAATTAAGTAGTTAAACACCTCACTAGATTTGAATTATGGTTGGTAATTGGTTATTTGAATTATGGTTGGTTACCCATTGTTAGGCGCGATTTTACTTTTAAAAAATAAATAATATAATTTGATGAACAATATTTAGATCCTTATTAATGAGGATGTACTTCATCTTTATTGCTGATGTGGACTAATAACAAATAAATATGTTCTCTTTAATTACAATATTAGAGTTGATAAGTTAAATATTTACTGAGACCTAAATATTAATATGTATATTTTTTCTTTTTGAATTTATAATTCAAAATAATGAGTCTAATTGTTATCGATCTATGTCAACTATCAGAATGGAGTACATCTTTATCGATAAGATCCGGACAAGGATTCTCTCCAGCGAATGAAAGGTATTGCACAAAATTCAGTGGTTAAGATTGAATTGATAAATATGACCCATTAGTGATGGTACAATCTTAATTAATAAATTTTGTGTAGGATTTTTTTTGCACCGGAGAGGATCTTTGTCTATAAAATTCGAGTATTGTCGTACAAAATTGTCCAACCTCTGAAGTTGATATATCTTTTTGAATCATTAGGGGTGCAAGTGGGGTAGCCCAACCTGGGCCAAGAAAACAAATTTATACGAACTTGTGAAAATCAAAGAAAACACATAACCATCAATGGTTCCACAATATTTAAGTATATGCCCAAGGAAGGAAAATGGTTTCTGCACAAATAATTGTCCTAGGGGAAAATAAATAAATAAAATGAAAGCGTGTATGGATTGTGTGTATATTATATTTATAAAATAGATTGAATTGGGTTGAACCACATTTGCACAAATTTATTCATAAAACTTTCAAGTTTTAAATTTATCATTAAATTTGATGAACTTTTAAATTTTTATATGATTTTGAATTAATAAATTAACGAGTAAATCAAAATCAATTCAATTTTCAATATTTCCTTGATAAACTTTTAGGGCAAGTTAAAAGAACTTAATTAGATAAATGGTGGGTCCACAATCAAATTCAGAATATTATTGACTATATATTGGTACGCTTGTTGTGCTTTTTATTGAGTGGGTTAATTTTATTAATGTATACAATATTACAATAAGAAGAAATAATTTTCCCAAATTAACAATATATATATATATAATTGACTTAAAAAGTGCTTGACAATGTCATAATCAACCCCACGCGGATCACGTGATTAGGACACCTAACTTTGTTTCTATTCCTCGTTGCAATTAGCTCCAACCTCACTCGCCGCCACGATGCTTATACATATACCATCACACACAAAACGATTTGCACTGAGTTAGGGCATAATAACAACTCGGTCTCTTTGTTTTTCACGCCCTCTCTCTCTCTCTCTCACAGTCGAAGCTTCAAATCTCTCGCCTTTGTAAGATCTCTCTGTTGCCCTTTTTCCATCATTGATTCGATTTTTTTTTTTTTTTTTTTTTTTTTTTTCTTTTCTAGTGGGTGATTTCCTTAATGTCTTCGCTTAATTTGTGTTGTATTGCAATTTTTTTTTTGTTTGAGTTTGGTTGTTGTTGTGTGATCGTATCTAATGATTAATCAGTGTTGATGTGTATGGGTGATTATGGATTTATGGGTCATTTCTGTTCGATCACTTTGTTAGGTAAACGCTTATGTATGAGTTTATTTAGTTCTTGAACTATAAAAGGCAGGTTTTTGTGCTTGAGTCCATTTTATTCCTTTATCTGATTGTTTTTAGTTTTCTATCTCTCTATACATAATATCTGGATTGTATTTGTGTGTTGTGTTGTGTGGTACACAGACCCATATACATAAGAAAAAATACAGAGTTTCTATATATATTATATTAAACCGAAATAGTTCCTTAATTTATGAAATATAATATGTTAATTATTAGAACTTTTAGAAAGAAGGTTTTTCTCTTGAGTTCCATTTTGTTCCAATATGTCATCATTCTGTTTGTGTGTGCGGATTATGTGTTTTGTGTCGTTTGTGTACATACATATGTATATATGAACATGAAAGTATAGATAATGATAATAATAATTGAACTGAAATTGTACCGCAATTGTGATGATGTTGTAACAATCATTTATGCATCCTACCAGTGGCTGTTGGATTTTTTAGTCCCAACAGAGCTGTGATCTTGTTTATTGATGTTTTGAAGATTTGGGTCGACGTGGTTTGGTGGAAAAATCTGCTTTAGATATAGGTTGAATCAACTTATGTAATTCTTCTAAATAAAAGAATTATTATTATTTTATTATTTTTAATTCAGTACTTTACTACTTAAAGGTTCTTTTATTAGCTTATGGTTGTATGAATAGTGGTATTTTTAGCTGATTTTATTTATCGTTAGGTATGTGAATCTCAATTTACTTCCACAATTATGTGAACAACATTGTGATGTTGTCTTCTAAAACAACCGTTTGCTGCTGTCAAATTTGTTCAACAATATGTGGACTTTTGTTATTTAAAATAAAATTGTCTCCCTTGAACTTGAAGGCGTTACTGATCGTGTAAATTTTTAAATAGAATTCACAATGATATCTAATAGTTCGGTTGAGTAAGAAAATGCGAGTTTTCTGTGATATAAGATGCTGGCTTGTTATTTGGGCGGTAAGCATTCTGGGCTTTGAGTGGAAATATGATGTAGGCTAGTAGAGATACCTATACCCAAATTATACTTCTTCTACTCTTAATATTGACTGTTTAAATACATATTTGTTTGGATATTTTTCAGTTTCTATATTAGCTTTTTCTCTCTCACACATAATAAACATATCCACGAAAAAAGTTTGTGAACTTCGTATTTTTGTGTTTTTTTTAAAAAACAGAGAGAAATTAGCAAGATTTGTGTTAACAGGGTAACAAGAAAAGGAAAAAGAAATTAGCAAGGTTTGCAATTAGTACCGAAAGAGTAAAAATAAAGAGCAAGCATTTTCTACCAAGAAATAGCAGCAAATACTCCTTTGGTCTTTGTGGTTTTGCCCATTTCTATTATAACAGAACTCATGAACAATAAAAAACAATCTTTTAGCTCTTTGTTTGAATTAGCTTAAAAGGTCCAATTTCTACAAGGAGTTATCAAATAAAATTTATAAAATAGATCAGTCTATTGATATTATTAGTTTCTTTCTTTTAGTTAAAAGGGTGCATGCGTCTTAATAGCATCATATCTTTGTTAATGTTAGTGTCACAATGTTTAGAAAAACGGTATTTCTCATTCGACTGCAGCTGCCTGGTATTTTCAAGTGCCCATAGCATAAACCAATTAAACTTGGTTCCTCTTTGTCACCCTCCTAAGTTATTATGATTGCAGTTTCTCCAAGGTATTGGGATTTTTTTGAATATGTAGAAGCAGTTCACACAATTTTTTGGCCAGTTAGTTTTTCTGATGGTACCGTCCACCATGAATTAAGGTTCTACACGTGCAGTGGCTCTTGGGACTCTGCCGTGTAGAACCTTAATTCACTAGATATACAATAATGTTTTTGCTATGAGTGAAACAAAAATTCACCTTATTTGATACGATAGACCTACTGTGGTATCACTTCCATCAATCTATTGAAAGATGGAACCTCTAGTGTGGAGTTGAGAACCCTACCTTGGTTTTCTCACCCTATACTGAGCATTTGTTACCTTGTGCATAAAGCCAAATGATGGCCTTGGCACCATCCCAGTGTAGTGATTGTTTACGTATTTCATCATTATTTCATCTCTAAGAACTAATTCTGTATTACTAAATCAAATATCTTTGCATGGGCTTTAGGTTTAACCATGTCGACTGTGAGCATTCCGACCGTGATCATTCCTTCACCTCGCATGTTCAAAAGTGCACCCCCAGCGACATCCTGTGCCTTGATAAAGAGTCCATGGTCTTTGGGTTCTGTGAAGAGTGTTTCTAAAGCATTTGGCTTGAAGTCTTCTTCCTCCTTCAGAGTATCCGCAATGGCAACGTACAAAGTGAAACTGATTGGACCGGAAGGCGAAGAGAACGAGTTTGATGCCCCCGATGATGCGTACATCCTCGACTCAGCCGAAGCTGCAGGACTAGACTTGCCCTACTCTTGCAGGGCTGGTGCCTGCTCTACATGTGCCGGTCATATGGCGATGGGAACAGTGGACCAATCGGATCAGTCTTTCCTGGACGAGAAACAGATAGAGAGTGGATACTTGCTGACTTGTGTCTCATACCCAACTTCCGACTGTGTGATTCACACCCATAAGGAAGGTGAACTCTACTGAGTGATGAAATGGGATAAACACCCGTCGCTAGGTAAATCTTGCTACTACTTTTGCCATATCAAGCATGAGAGCTGTTTGCATTTTGTGTTTGGAACGATGTTGTTTGCCTATTTCTCTTTAGTTCTAAGTTGATGGTCTTGTGTCCTTCAGAGTTTTAAAGCTAAAAATGCCCAAATGCACTTATTGTTTGCTGAACTATTTAGTGGTACTGAATATGGGGATGCCCTTCTGCTTGTGTCCAGATTGGAGTAAACAGGGTGAGTTGAACTGATTGCTACATTTTCAAGATGACGATGACAGACGATAACGACAACCATCTAATTGCTACATTTTGACCTGGAAAGGGCACTTATCTAGTTTGTTTAGAATCGCTGGTGATTGTCTTAAATTTCAGAACAAAAATGCTGTTTTTGATGAAATTGGACTTTATTACTCTTATCATTCATTTTATATATATATATATATATATATAAGCACTTTCATAATCATGCTTCCTCTCCATGCATGTTTATTTGATGAAAACCAAAGAAGCCGAGTCTTTTATTGGACTGAGTTGAGACAGTAAATAAATTGGTCAATTTATTTGCAGTTCTGTATGTGAGGAGCTGCCGAGCTTATGAATGGGTTCATGCATCAATCAGATTAAACGAACACAAGCTTTTAAGTTCCAAGTTGAGAAATGTTTTTTTTGGGTGTGTTTGGATATATGGAATTAAAGCTTTGGAATTGGAATTTATGGAATTTGAGGAAATTTTAATTCAATTTTTACCGTTGTTATTTTTAAAATTTTATCAATTCTAATTTTAATTCCATGTAATCAAACACACTTTTAGGAAATTACTTTAAAGAGTAAATTGCACTAACACTCTTCCAGATTTGGATTAAAACAACTTGGGTGGTAAATTGCACTTGTACTCTTCCAGATTTGGGTAAAACAACTTAGGCCCTTTTAGGGCAATGACACTCAAGTTTGGTAAATTAAAGGGTAAAGTGCAAAAAAAAAAACCTCCCCCCTTACTATCATATATGGCATATCAGTCCCTGTGTGGTAAAAAAAATTTCTTATACTATCAATTTGGTGTGATTGGGTTCCTGGTGGTGTAAAATGACGATAATACCCTCACTTAAGTTAAATAAATTAATGATTATAAATATAGGTCATGTAAAATGATCATTTTGTCTAAATTTGTATAAAATGTGGTTTGTTTGGCAGAAGGATAATATTAACTTCAAATTGAATAAAATTGGGATAACCTAAACCTAAATATAACTAAATCTAAAAGCAAACATGCCCTTTCATATTTTATAATATAATTAAATTTATCATTTATATATACATATATATATATCCATCGCTATTCTGGTTCTCAACTCCCCCCCCCCCCCCTCCCCCCCCTTCTCTCTCTCTCTGTCTCTGTGCAACTGCAAACTACAAGAATCCGAAGTTCAAACCCATATATTTTAGTTTATCCATCTGCTGCAAGAATCAAAAGTTCAAAACCCATATCGGCATATCATTTCATATTGTTCAAAAAATCAAAAGGGATATCTTTCTGTTTCCATCGCCAGCTGTTCCAGTTTGGGTTCGCCGTTCGCAAGCTTCAGCTACTATTCCAGTTCGGGTTCAACAAGTGACCATTGATTCCGGCGAAAGCCAAGCTGCATTCCGCGCTCCTGTGAACTGATCGACAGCAAGCTTCACGGCCTGCTTGCCTTCTCCGGTGACAAATCAGTGAACTCATCGACTTGCATTCAACTACGATGAACAAAAACGGCGAGCTCTGTTTCAGTTTTATGAGCTCACTGTTGCGTTTTTGCAACGATGGGCCTAGGTAGCGTGGACACGTTGCCGAACTGAAGTGGGTTTCGCCGAAGAGGAATGCACCGAACTGACATGGGTTTTGCAGAAGCTTGGAGCTCTCCGGAACTGGCCAGAGTGGACTTCACCGGAACTGGGTATAGTCTTGGTAGGAAATACTGATAAACATTACCTTGTTTATACTGCTAATACTCTTCAGTTTAAAAAAAAGAAAAAAAAGAAAAGAGGAGATGGAGATCTAAAGTAGTTCTCTAGCTGCTAAAGTTTAGTATAGCCTGTAAACTATAATAATTCGTGTTAAGCCATTAATCACAAATTTACATGAATCCCATATCTTAGAACTTCATGATTTTCACATATCTATAATGCATAAATAAATACTAGTTAGATATAAATACCTCGATTCACGATATCAATTCTTGTTGAGATTAAGTCCAACGTCCAGATCCTTTGGCCACGAACTAATCTGCAACTCTGATCAACAGGCAAAGGTGGAAACTAGTTTCTCTCTCTTGGCCTTTTGCACACATAAAACTTTTACGTGTTGTTTCATTAATTGTACATAATTGATGGAGTATATGCACTTTTATAAAGGCAGAGAGAGGACCAGTTTTCCTTCTAGTAACATAATTCTACTTTCCATCAAAGTAAAGAATAAGAAAGGAAAACACTTCTCCAATAAGTAATTACCAAAAAGGTAATTATAAGTTGACCAAAAATAAATAATATTAATTGATATCTATTTACTTACCCACCAAGTAATATGTCACATGTCCAAATCATGTGGATCACAATTAAATAAATAATCTTACATTCTCCCACTTGGCACATATGATAATTTCTGTAGTGCTTTAGTAAAATAGTCATTAATGTGCACCATAAATCAGATTAACTTATTAAATTGGTCATCATAAATACCATGGTTAATAAATTACCAATGCGAGGCATGGCGGTTATATATTCTTAAATGACACAGTCCCTTCCATATACCACAACATTAGTAATCTATTCAACATAGTCTATAAATGAGAAATATCAATAATGATCTAACAATAATGTCTTTTCCAAGACTATTTCTATTACCACTTATTAAAGTAATACGTACATGTACATTAATTAATAGGAAATATCAGAAACACATTTAATCAGCGCAAAATGTCAAATATATATAAGCACTATTTAAGCAATCCACAATTAAAAAATAATCATCATTGACTACATTTAAGACCCATTCTTTCAACATGTTCTATAAATGTCTTGGATGGTAGTCCATTCATTAATGGATTGCAATCATAAGTTGTGTGCTTATAATTTCAATAGACATTTGTTGTTTCTAAATATCTTCTTTAATGATAAAGTATTTCAACTTTAAAATACCTATCATTTTTCATACAAGAAGATCAACAATTGCAGCATAAATTTTCAGCAATCTGAAAACGGTACCCATAACTCCAAGTCCTGAAATAAATTCTGCAACCATAAATTATAGCCTCAAAGCATGCTACAAATTAAAATTTCATAATAGACAAAGTAATCATAAATTACTTTGCACTTTTTCATAATATTGTTCCTCCAACCAAATCTTCTAGAACTCTTTTAATATATGCTTTATGAGATAATTCTAAAAACAAATCAATGTGATCTATAACAAAATATTTCTATTCCTATCACATAGGATGCTTCATCCATATATTTCATTTCAAAGTTCTTAGAGATAACTTTTAGTTTCATATAATAAACTAAGATCACTACTAACAAATAAAATATCATCAATATATAGAATCAAAAATATAAACTTACTCCCACTAATCTTCTAGTATATACATTGATCAACAGTGTTTTTCTTAAAACCAAAAGAAATAATGGTATCATTAAACTTAATATACCATTGTTAGGAAGCTTGTTTAAATCCATATATTGACATCTTAAGTTTACGGACCATGAATTCTTTACCCTCTAATATGAAGTCTTCAAGTTTTTCCATATGGACTTCCTCTTATAAACTCCTATTCATAAAAATTGTATTCACATCCATTTAATGTAACTCTAAATCATAATAAGCTATTAATGCCATAATATTTTAAAAGATTCCTTCTTAAATACTAGAGAGAAGATTTCTTTATAATCTCTTCATTCATGACACTAATCCATTTAGTAAAATCATTACTGTTAATGGCTTGTGAATATGTAACCGGATCTGTATATATCTCACTATATATCAAAATCAGATTCTTGCAGATATATCACATAGTCATCCGGAATAGCAGATCTCCTTTCTCTTTGAGATCGTCTTAATGTTATTCCTTATGATTCTTCTACAATCTATTCATTAGTGACAATCTCATTATAAAGTTGTTGATCATTTAATTGTTCTTCGTTGTTATACGGTTCAACAACTGAAGGAACAATTATTTCCTTATATGTTATGGGTAAAGATATTTGTACCCTAACTTCTGAAATGATCAAATTCTTATTTTTATCACTCCCACTGATTTCACCATTCTTAATAAATCTGACATTACCGGTTTCAATAATTATCGTACTATGTTTTGGATAGTAAAACTTGTACCCTTTAGATTACTTAATATCCACAACATTATGGGTAACGAGGAATTACTTAACATACTCCTAACCAATTCCATAAGAGTACGATTACGCCTTACAGCTACACGCTTCTGCTGTGGCATGTATAGCAAAGTGTATTGAACACAAATGGCATACATTTTAAGGAGTTTAATAAACGGTTAGAGTATTAACCTATTTCATCATACTTTACATAATATTCACCACCTCTATATGACCTTATGATTTTCACTTTCTATCTAGTTGTTTTTCAACCTCATTTATGTATACTTCAAGAGTACCCACTGCTTGAGATTTTTCATACAACAAATAGATATATCCATAACGTGAAAAATCAACTATAAAGGCGATAAAATACTTTTCTCCTTCAAAAGATGGAACATCAGAAGGTTTACAAATAATTTCAAGAAGCTATGTACTTAATGTGACTCATTTCTTTGTGCGTTTAATTTGTCTACCCTTAATACAATCTACACACACATCAAAATCAGTAAAGTTTAGATTCAGAAGAATCACATCCTTTACTAATTTTCCTAACCTTTCACTAGATATTGACCTAGTATTTTATGTCAAAGATAAATTTTCTATTAATTGAGTTACACTTAATTCTAACATTATGATACAAGATCAAAAGGATTTTAATAAATAAACCATCAAATTTGAATTTACAGAAATCATCAACAATAATACCATAACTCACAAATTGTAATTTCTTAAATAAATATCATTACCAAATTTAAATGAAAAACTATTAATATAAAGTTTTTGAAATAAAATCAAATTATGGGAAATTGAATAAACATAAAAATTTTAAAATAATTTAAATAAAATCCATTGTCTAACATTAAACATAGTGTCATAATTGTTTCAACAAAACTTTTTCCCAATTATCATAAATAAGAAATTCTTATTTGAATTTGTGGTTTAGGCCATACAAAATTCTTACATCTATTAGAAACATAAATATTAGTACTTAAGTCAACCTATCATGTATTAAAAAGAATTTCAACAAGTAATTCGCAATATACAAAAGCCA